AATAATTCGTTCTTAACTATTTCAGAAAGTTGGTTAATGATTTGTTTGATCCTTCCCTAAAACTCGTTCCCTAGGTACAGGGAATATTTTTAATGGACTTTTGTTGTGTTTCCAAGTTGCCTAATGCCTTCATCTTTCAGATGTTCGTGATCCAGTGCCCTAGCGATATCATTGCAGATATATATTGTATATCTTCTGTGTAGAGTGATAAACAAAAAAATTTTTCTTGTTATGTAAGCTGCAAAAAGCATTAACTATGAGCTATGTGATGGCATTTCCTTTTTGAAAAACAATGTCATAGAAAGAGTCCTGTGCTGGAAAACAGGCAAATGGTTCTAGTCTAAATATTTTTCATGACTCTTAATGTATTTCTCCATATATTATTCAGTACAATCCTTCAGTCTTCCTAAGAAGTCTGTCTTAGTTTTTTGATCCAACCCACCAGTATACCAGATGAATGTGTAATTTCTAAAAAAATATTTGATAGGTAAGTTCACTGGCTCTGTAGCTACTCAGCTGCCTTACTTATGTTTCCTTCAGTGCTGTTATCATTGGATTTTTTTGAGAATAAGCCTTTTTTGCCATGGTTTGGCATTGCTTAAGATGTTGGGGTTTTTTTTAATCTCTTCTGTATCTTCTCTTTAATTACCATTTATTACAGTTGGAATTTCCAGAAAATACTTCAAGCTGCTAAAAAGCATACTTCACTTGCTTTAGGTTAAACAAAGTTAAATTTATTTCTTCTGTATTGTGTTTACTACATTTAGTGAACCATATAGTTCAAATCGCATGGGACGTTTATTTGCTCTTAAATCACTGACTTAAACTGTAGCATGAAAATAAATAAGATATAGGCAACTCAACCCTTTAGTAGACTCTCAGAGCCAATTTCTAACCTCAGCTGTATTGTTATAAATCAGGTGTAACTCCATTCACCGAATTAGCACCATTGTAACCAATATTAAGTCAAGTACCTGAATGTGCGTCCTAACCCCAAGTTTTGCTGCCTGCAAGAGCAAAATCTTAACCTACATGACTTCCTATTTTACATAATAGATATATTGATATAAATACTTGCAATCAAATAGAAAATTGCTGTAGACACACAGCCATAAGCTTTATGTGCAAACTTGGCAATCACATACCAGAACTTCTTCTACAAAGGACTAAGTTGAATGTAAAGATAAAAACTGTAGAAGCGGGATCTAGAAAATTCTTACAGAGCAGTTTTCTCCTTTGGGATGTGTCAATATTTCAGGTCTTTGGAATGCCTCATAAGGTTGGAGACTGAAAACAGAATTCATTCTGTCGAGGAAAGATTTGAAATCAGACAATTTTTTGGATGTTGATCTCTACGTTCTTAAATTGGACGACATGCAGGGTGCTTATTGTTTTGGACTAGATCCAAGTGTTGTTTCCTTAGAATGAGTCAAAGACAGGACTTAATTCTCTTCTTCATGGATTTGCATCCAGATTCTGTACCTTAAGTCTGTCTCTAGCTGGAATTGTAAATATTGATTATAAGGGCATATATTTGATTATTTGATGTGAAGTCTGATGTAAAGTAGTAACTTTAGAAAAATCAGTAAATATGCATTAGCTTGAGTAAAAAAAAAATCTGCAGAAGCTTAAAGCCTGATTTAAACTGTTAGTTCTAGCATTTACTTAATAAGAAGAGCTGTTTCATTGATCAAATTGAGGCTTCACCCCTTTAGCTATTTCAGTAGTCAACCCTGCATGGATTCTTTAAAGAGGTTTGTGTACAATCATACTTTTTCTAATGAAGTATGTAACTAGGAAGTCACTTTGATTTATGCACATATCTATGTTTGCAAGAGGCAAGGGAGTTAATAATTTCATACTGAAGAGAAATCATCATGAACATGTGTAACTGATAACTCATATTACAGCTACAGCTCTACAATACCCTCAGTGTTACATTTAATTTTGGGCTTCTATCATTTGTTTTAAAGTTCTTGTCCTTTCCAGAACATCTGACATTTCAACATTCCTGTTTGTCTCAAATTAGAAAAGAAAAACTGAGCCCTTTACAAAACAGAGATTTTAAATTATTTCTGCAAGTTGGAAGTACAAAGATTTCATTTCAATGTTTTGTTTTCATTTGTTTATCTGATGTGAAATACTTTGATTGAAGCCATTACAACATAAAAGTTTATTTTCCCATAGGGATGTTTCATAGTAACCACAGTATAGGAACAAAGTTATTTATTTCTTCATAGTAAGTTGTGTTCCCTGACTGGCTTGTATTGCTGCCATGAACTAGACAGGCTGATTACACAGAAACTGCACTTCAACAGATATAATTCTCAAGTTGGCCTGCTGGCATAGAGTGGGAATTGGAAGTTAAATCTTCTTTTATCCAAGAGAAGTGAAACTCTGGCTAAAGCTCTACTGAGACAATTCAAAATAAGTGTTTCATGTCATTTCTCAAAGGAAGGCAGAATACTTGCAGTTATAGTAAAATGTCAGTAAGGAAGATTTCAGTACTTTAGAAATCTAATTTAACACTAAGACAGCCTGCTTAATGAAAAATTCTTAAATGATTGCAAAATACAGCTTCTGCACATCCATAGCACTGGATACATCTGTACAATCTGCCATTCTGTGTGCTTCTGAATGCTTGATAATGTTGCCAGGAAAATGTAACTATTCTCTGCAGTGCTAAGTGTGAGAAAAATAATGTAAATGCTGAGAATTACTGTACTGTAATTCATAAAATAGAATAATTGTATAATCTGATGGGATACAGACTGATTGGCAGATAACAAATGACTCTGTATTTGTTCTATTAGCTGTTCTTTGGGCAAAAGTTGATTTCATATCCTTAGTTATTTTCAATCTAATTCTTGTACACCTCCATATCATCCAGGATGATTATTATGCTCAAATTTAATCTAAATACCAAACCTGAAGTATGTGCTGAAATTATTTTGCTATGCTTAGATGTTTGAGTTTGAAAAGCTAATGAACAAGCTTTGTAAACTGATTTGTTTGTTCTCATCTAAAATATTTGTCCATTCATTATTAGACATTTTGCTTTACATCAGGCTCTCTAGATAGATCTGACTTGAAGTAATGTTTTAGGCATATATTGAATTCCTGCAAATCTAATATCCTTGGAAGGCAGCTGTTACACACGCCTGAATCCCATTCATGTAGTGTTTCAAGTTTAGGATTAAGCTGTAATGATTGGAAAACTGTAAAACTAACAATAATGTGTTGAACAAATGCAGGTATCAAAATCCAGGCATTCAAAAAAGGCAGCAGCGGCTCTAGGCATGAAGAGTGTTAGCTTGAAAGCCACAAACTGACTGTTCCTTTTTGTGGTGTTCTTATTGTGTTGCACGGTTCACTAGGAACTTGGAAGGAGCATGATGGATTTTGGAAATGCCTGCTGAGTTGCCGGCCAACTGTGGAGGTTCTCTAAAACATTGGCAAAATTTCAAACAATTATTGGCCAGTGCTGACCAGTTCTAGAGAGCAAGGCAGCATGAGTAGGATCTATAATGATTTTGTGATGAGTGTGTCGGACAACTTGGAAATGGTTGAAATAAATGCCATTTTAAGCTATTAGAATATTTAGGATGGGAGCAGTTTTGTCATTGAACTTACATCCTTCATTTATTTCCTTTATGCTTAAATATTCATTGTATACAGTTCTACCAGTGTAGTATTTTAGCTCTTAAAAACTTAGTTTATTCAGCAAGTATCGTTTCATAGAAGAATTGAGGTATAGACTGATGGGAATGTTGGAGATGTCTGGATCTGAGATCCAAAGCAAAAGGATGTGTTCAAACACTCAGTTCCAAAATTCCCTCTTGTGCCTTACATAAAAGGCAGAGCCTCACCTGTTTTCCTGCAGCCCTTGAGGTAGCACATGGCAAATATTACCTTACCTTCAGCAGCACAGTGTGGAATTGGCCGAGAGTCTGCTACAGCTGGTGAGCTCCCTAGAGGCTTCCATTCACTGCAGTATCCAAAGCAGCAGCACCCTGCAGAGCTGTAGTGTATATATAGATATGCATGTGGATTTGCCCTGGCTTATTTGATGAAAGAAACCTTCTGCCACAACATTTTCTATGTTGCAAAAGATCCTAAACGTGTAATAGAGAATTACATGGATTCTACAAGATACTTGCTCCTGCTATCTGAGAAATATCAGACATGAGAAAATTTAAAAATGAGTAGCACGTTTCTGAAGCACTTCAGGTCTTCATCCCTGCATCTTGTTTTGGTTTTTACCACACAGCTATTGACTTTGAGAACTCACTCCAGCAGTGCTGGAGGAAAGTGCTGGGTGAAAGAGCCTTTGGGTATGTGGGACAGTGTGGAGCAGTTGTGCTCATACAGCAGGTCTTTGTTTGACATAGAAAAAGAACCATACTGTACTCAGCATTTGCTAAACATTGCTTGGCTTCTCCTAACCAAACCATGCTTTGTGAAGAGGTGTGTGGAAGGGGGCAGGTGACAGTTTGCATCATTCTGCCTTAATGTGAGCAGCAAGAGCAACAGCTATGTCTGGGGTTCCTGCTCCTCAGCTCCAGATCCCATGGTTCTTGTGAAGAGCACACAGGACATTACTTTCCGCATATGTTCACACTTTTGTCTATTCCTTCCACTGCTTCTACCCAGATGGTGAAACAACAACTCAAAAACATGAGGAAAGATTTATCCCACTTTTTTTAACAGAAACATGGGATTTTAGTATGAGGTATAAGAGCTCTCATATCGCATAGGATTTATGGTAAATTTTGATAACATTTAACCAGTATAGAAGAATTTTTTATTGCTTAATTACGTAATAGGAATTATGTGATTTTCCATGATAATTTCCATTCAGATTTGTGTGACAGAGCACAGTTTGTATGTGCTGACCCCGTTTTGACTTGCAGCATGCTTAAAAATAAATAAATATACAAATATTTAACTTCCTTTCACTCAGAGGATAACTTCATTGTGTTGTCTTTTTCCTTTTACAGCTTTTGAAGGAAATTATTGGTCCCCCATTTTTCTCCAAAAACAGAAAGAATCTCTGCAAAGAAGTAAGTGTCTGACCTAGTTTTTAGTGTTTGCATTCAAGTGTGAGTGACAACTCTATTCAGCATCAAGTCCATATTGCAGAAGGCACTGTACAAACCACATAATAAAAATAAATCTTCGTTTCAAGAAGCATATGTTTTGAAGCATTAAATTTTAGAAATTCCAAATTAAGACTTTGCATGTAAAAAGTTTTTAAAATATGTTGTCTTGCTGTTGTAAGATTTAATCTAAATGGAGAGCGCTTTAGTGTGCCATGCTGAGGTTTTGATGCCTAAGGATAGAAACTGTGAGCAGTTTAATAGCCTTCCATATTTAGAAATATGCTATTGGGGTAATTTTTGTGGTATGTTTGTGTCACACTATATTAGGAATGGCGAGAAGTACAGCACAGACGCTCTCGTGTGTTGTACAAGAGAGCTAAGTTTATTATTATCCTTGATCTTCATTTATAGACAGATCTGAGAGGTAAAACTCTCATAGGTCATTAAACTTACTCATCACTATCATTGATCAATTGGAACACCACCCCTTGACTGTTTAGGACAAGGATCCTAAACAACACCTGCCAAGATTGTTGTCCTTTACCAAGGACTGTGGATTCTTTCTTATGCTTTCTCAGGCCAGAGTGAGAAGCCTGAGTGACTTAGTTTCACACAGGCTCTATGTTCCCTGCTTGCTTTTTGCATTTAGCAGCCACATGTTTGATTTTCGTTCCTACATATTACTGCCTAGTGCTATCTAAAAATTTAGGATATGGATTCTTTCGATACTTCAAAATCAAGAAACTAAATAAAGCTCATTCTCCATGTGCATTAGGTTTGTAACAATGATTTTAAAGATTTCATGTTAAAACAAACTTATATGCAAATGGACACTCATAGTGTGGAACATTTTTTCCTTACCTTTGTAGCCAGCGGCCACAGTAGGGCAGATCTCTGCTTCAGTGTTCAGCTGTGCCAGGTGTCACACTTCTGGTAGCTTACCAGAAGTTTTCCCTTAACTCCAAAGGATGGTTTGTGTGCATCCATCCAAATCTATATGCAAAATTAACACCAGCCACCTACTTACTGTAAATTTGTGCTAGTCCTTCTGAATCTGAGGAATACAAATAGTAAGGTATTACTGTCTTACTTGTGTAAAACAATGTGCAATGCAAGAACAAAAAAAAATTAAAAAATTAGCATATTACAGCTTTAAAATATTTAAAATATTAGCTATCAGAAGTATGGTTAGAAAGGCAGGTATCCTTAAAATGTTAATTCATAATTAGAATTTAATGGCAAATTTTGACTTTAGTTATTGTGGAATTTTCTGCTACAGAGAAATTCTGGTTCTATTCAAAATGATGGTGGACAAGGACTTGGAAGTCAGAGCACAAGGGAGGGATAAGCAGAAAAATCTCAATAGCCTCACAAAATTCTCTGAACTGAAAATAATTGGAGGCTGAGAGAGTATCTGTGGAAGTATATATGCCTGACCTGATGGTAGTCTTCCCTTGGGCAGGCTGTTAATGGTCACTGTTGGAAATAAAATACAGAACTACATCAAACCTTGGGCAGAACCAACACAATTTTTCACTTGTCCTTTTCTGAAGAAATTTGAGGCATTGGCTTCTAAATTTGAAGTTCATTAAATAGTCATTTAGTGTTTCATGTCCATGGCAAGAATGAATAAATGTCATTTATTCATGACATATTTTACAGGACATGATGTCCCTCTGCTACGGGATACAGAAGGCTATAGCCCTTCTGAAAACACAAAATTTTCACAAGATCCTTTCTAAAATAAGTAGAGATATCAGTCCTAATATTTCATCTTTTTTCTCTATCCTGTTATAATTACAGACAATCTTCCTAGTAATTCATAATTTTAATGTTTTACACTATCATACTTTATTTCTGCATACCATTAGAAAGTAATTCTCTGTACTCCAAAGCTTGTTGCATATCAGTGGTTGAACGAAATTTTTTATCCAATTTGGGGAAAATGTGGAGGTGTAAAACAAAAAGAATTTTATATAATGAAAATTTATTATAATAAGCATTTCTTTAGTCAGAAGAAACTGAGAGTGGCTTGAATTAGGAGAATTCTCATTCAGTATGAATGGAACTCATTCAGTGCATGGAAAAGCTACATGAAGTTCATCCTTAATGTAAAAGTCATTGAAAGACTTCTGATCAGACAAAAAATTCCCAAATATTCAGGAACTCATCTCTGTCTGCCATCTGTTCTTACAACAGGAGAAACAGTAGAGCATGGATATAGACTAATTAAAAGAAAACCCCTAGATATTATTTAGTAAACACTGAACTAAAAAGACAAACATATAATCTGGATTTAACCTTCCTTGAGTTATTGACATTCCCATTTGATATTTTTCTTTGATAAGATTTAAATAAAAACAAATACAGTGACCATGCTCCTGTATTTATTGAAATGGGCACCTCTTGCACTCTGACCATTGTGCAGCCCCAGGTAATCATTCTTTGGTACACTCTGGGGTTTGGTGGTCAGTATCACTCAGGCACAGTGTATTAAAATATGGGCATGAAGGATCAATGATAACAATGAGCCAATTCCTATTTTCCAGTCAGACCTTCAGGACAGAACAGAAGTGTGGAAGAGGAGTACTTTTTGCCAACAGGTAACCACTCATCGGAAAAAGTATTTTCTACGTGACCTGGATAAAACCAGTAGCATTCTGTAGTTATTTGATCTCTCCTTTAGAGTTAAAAGAGATGTTGTGGCTTTAAAACAATAAATGTAAATTGCATGGAGACTTTGATAAACTTATCTGATATTTTGTAACTCTAAGATACATTCTAAGATACCTGTGTTTCATATGATACTACCATAAGCAAAAATAATTACAAAATGAAAGTAGCAATCTAAGTCTGGAAATACAGAACTTAGGACATGATTTTAGATACTTCAATAAAATTATCAGCTTCAGAGGGACTGTTCAAATGCTTTAAGTAGGAGCTGAACTATCAAACGGCAAATGCTGGAGTTGTATCTCTTTTATTTTAACTCATTTCCACATCTGAAAATATGTCTATTCAGATGAACATTTCACACTACTGCTTAAAAATGAAAACTGATTAAAACATTTCATATACTTCTAAAACTGGCTAGAACTTTGTCACACAAACACGCAGCCAAAGGAGTGTGGAATTACAAGTTGGGGTTTGAAAACTGTCTTTTGATATCTGGTGATTTGACTGTGCAGTTAATCATGATACAGTAATGCCATAGCTTGGTAAATGCTGTGCCTGAGATGTTAAAGCTCTGTCCAGTAGTTTATCTGTCACCTTTGTAAACAGATCTAGCAGAATTAAATTAGAAGGTAAATCTTTATATTATTCATAGGAGTTGGAAGAGTTTTTCCCAAGCTGGGAAGTTAGGGAATTCTCCTCTGCTTATAGTAAATGAGAATATTGCTCTCACTCCTAATACTGATTGACTTCCTGACTGGAGATAAAATTTTGAGATTACAAAAGAAAAAAAATAGAGGGCTAGAATGTTGTTTACAGGATTAATCTGAATAGAAACTTAATAACTTGTCCTTTTATTTTTATTTGAAAAGCTAATCAGAATGAGCAAATATGCTAAATCCATGTTTCTTTGTCTTTTATAGTTTTGAGCAAAGATTCCTGTTCTACCTGGGGAGGAGGGCATTTTTCAACCTTTGATAAATACCAGTATGACTTCACTGGGACTTGCAACTACATCTTTGCAACTGTATGTGATGAGACCAGCCCAGACTTCAACATTCAGTTCCGTCGTGGGCTGGACAAAAAAATTGCAAGGATCATTATTGAGCTTGGACCTTCTGTCGTCATTGTGGAGAAAGGCAGCATTTCTGTCGGGAGTGTTGGGTAAGATTCTGTCATGAATGGGCGCGAAGTGTTTGGAGAAGGCAGGGAGCTGTATAGCAGCTGCACTAAAGACTGCTTTGTGTCAAAAATGAATTAACGAATTACTAAAGTTAATACACCTAACTGGACTCTACTGCCATTGCTTCCCATCAAGCACTCACACTCTGCAGCATTCTCTTTAGGGGTTTCTCTGATCTTGTCAGTTTTTGGTCATAAGTCTTATATTAAAATGCCGTAGAATCTCCTCAGGATAATCAACTTTAGTTCCACCACACCAACTTCATGGTTACAAATTCTTGAAACATACAACTATGCTCTAATAAAACCAAACCAAGTGAAGATGCCAAGTCCTGTGCAAACACTGTCAGTAGTAGAATCACTATGCAACCCATTTTCTGGTGATTCTTCTATGAAACTATTTTGATATATTGATTTATATTGATCTTAAATCAATAGATACTTTCATGTGTTTTGAAATGTCACAGTTAAAAAGGAAAACAATTCTGTTTCATGTTGCTGCAAGTACTCAGACTGTGTGTGTATCATGTCCAAAATAAATAAATAATACTTGCATAATCTTGCTATGAGGTTGGTTTCTCTTCTCACCTTATTTCAGTGTCATTCAGTTGCCTTACACCAGCAATGGAATCCAAATATCACCTTATGGACGTAACATCCGCCTGGTAGCCAAGCTCATGGAGATGGAACTGGTGGTCATGTGGAACAATGATGACTACCTCATGGTTAGTAAAATGTTCTCAATAGAGTAGAGAAGAAAATTCTCACTGATTTACTGGAATGGCAAGAACACTCTGAACTTAATGGATGCTTTTGTGTGTATTTACTCATTCTTTTCCTGTTTTATCCATTCCTCTTGAAATAAACAACTTTGCATGTTACTTTCACTTGCAGCATTGGTAGTTAGCTAAAGCCACCAGTGCTGAGATTTGTGGATGCTTTCACACATTTTAATCTTTCCTCAGGGTATTCCAGCAGCTGCAATGTTTTGTTTAAGAGATGTTGTTTAAAGTTGTGTAGAACTTAATATTTTATGCCATAAAGTTTAGTCTTTTTTATTTGGCTTCCCTGGGGTATCTTTTGGTTTCAAACACTGAATGCTTCTACCAGTTTCTTTTTTCTTTCCTTTTTCTGAATCTTGAGGTTTTCTTCTCAAAATCCCCAGTACATTTTCTCAGTGTGACCTACGGTATTATTGCCACAAAAGACGCTGAATTCTAAATTGATTAAGTTTCCTAAAACAAGGAGATGCAGTAAATTGTCTGGGAGATTTATCAGCATTACTATCACATATATAAGAGACAATGCTACTGTGATGGTTTAATCTGACCATACAAATAATATGGTTTTATTTCTCTGATCTAAGATTTTCATAGTAATTCATTGTTTGTAGCCAGTGGTAATACTACCATTTTAGTCTCTAGAAAATAGAGAATTGAATAACCTTCTTCTGAAAATAGATTTTCTTCCTGTAACCTTAAGTTTCTTAAGAGGATAAACCTGAAACTCATGCTCTGTCAACAAATATATTAGCAAGACTTCAGCATTATTTTCTTTTTTTCCTGGCTCCTTAGAATGTTATCCCCACTCAATTCCCTATGTCTTCAAATTTTATTCTTTTTATTAAACACTAATTTAAAAAAATCACTATTTGCCTATTGGGAAAAGACTTCACTGCTTACAAAATTCCTCCTCCAAAAAAGTCACTGAAATTAATGAGAATCACTTTTAATTGGGTGCTTGAACTGTATTTGTTTGATAAAGGTATATCTGTATAGATAATTTAACTTAGGGCGATCCTTTTAAATCTTTTGTTCTATTTTATTTTAGGTTTTGGCTGAAAAAAAGTACATGGGGAAAACATGTGGAATGTGTGGGAACTACGATGGTTATGAATTGAATGAATTTGTGCGTGAAGGTAAGAGACAGGGACATTTCAGACAGAAGGAGAATGAGTTAAAATGAGTCAAGGTGAAAATTAAATACTGTGATAGCATTGCTGTGTTTCAGAAGTGAGTAAAGCAGTTCCATGGGGCACCAACATACCTCATATGATTATGCTACACTCTGTTATCTGCTATGAGCATAATATAATGGGTTCCTCACACAAGTGATAAGGACTCTTATCTTTTAGAAACAGGTGGTAAGGATCACACTCTCCTAACTTCCACAAGAGGCAGTTGTTATCATTGGGAAGATTAACTAGTAGGGCATTTAACAGTCAAAGAGTAAAATCAGAGTTTTGCTACATCACAGCAACAAGTAAACAAATCAATGCAGTCTTTTCCCTGATAAATTATAACCCTTCAATTTCCAGGTAAATTGCTGGATACATATAAATTTGCTGCATTACAAAAAATGGATGATCCATCAGAGATCTGCCTGTCCGAGGAGATACCAATTTCCACCGTTCCTCACAAAAAATATGTAAGATCTTCTTGGCTTCTCTGCAGCATTATTCTTAGCAGGGGGAGCATGACAGCTAGAAATCAACAACAGAGAGGCAGTGGTTTCATAAAAATTACTTCCATGAAAACAGATACGGAAAACATCTGTATAGCATGATATGAGAAAGAAAAGGAGTGCTTTGCATTAAAATACATTTGAATAAAAGCCCACAGACATTTTAAAGGCTACATTTAAATCACTCGTAAAAATTGATCAGCATTTAGCTCACAGCTTTCTGGAATTCCATGCAGGTCATCACAGGAAATGCATGGAAACCAGTGAAGCTTTAAGAACTTCTCATCTAACAGCTAGAGACCTGACACTATAACCTGTACAGATTTGAAGATATTCACAATGCCTAAAACGTATTGCCAAATAACTGGGAGAGCCACCATCAACTGCTAACACTCAGAGTTCTAAATTAAATCAGTGTGCCTGAGAACTTTTGAGACCTTACACCGCAGTAGGCAGCATGATAGGCAACACAAACATGCAGGCAACAGAAATGCACCAAGTGTGTTCTCAAAGAGGAAGGAATTTTGTGATCTTCACTTCTGGGATGTTTTTCGTGGAACTGAATTGCCATGAGACAATACATTTCCTGTGTGTAATGTCCTCAGCCATTTTTAGGGGGATTGATGGCACAGAAAGTGACTTAATTTTCAACATAATGAGAAGTGGAATTATTTTAATATATTGGGTTCTTTCTGTTGAACGATGGATTTATATTTCCTTTTATGGGAATGTGCGTGAATTTCTCATGCATTTTAAATACAAATACACATAATTAAACTCTAGGGGGAAATGCAAACAAACCAACAAGAAAATCATAACTGGCAGTGTTATTCCATTTTGGTTTTCATATGAAGGAAACACCACCAGGAACAATTTTCTTCCTCTTTTTATTTAGGCCGTGATCTGCTCTCAGCTACTTAATTTGGTGTCACCAACCTGCAGTGTGCCCAAGGATAGGTTTGTCATTCGTTGCCAGCTCGATATGCAGGACTGCAGTGAGCCAGGACAAAACAATTGCACTTGCTCTACACTGTCAGAGTATTCCAGGCAATGTGCTATGTCCCACCAAATGGTGTTCAACTGGAGAACTGAAAACTTCTGCTGTAAGTTCAAATGTTTTATTCATCGGAGACTGTGCTTAACTTTTCTGTGTTTTAAATAGAGGGACAAAGATAAATAACTGGAATATTAAAGAAAAAGTCTCTACTGTTTTTAATCAAACAAATTATTTTCTACAAAGAACAGTGGTCTTTGATAACGCTGTAAAAAGGAGAGCAGGGAAACCTCAAAGAAGAAGGAAGCTCAAAACACAGCTCCTACGTCTAGATCAGTGGCAATAAAACAGATTAACACTGACCAAGTGAAAACTGTTTAGCTTCTCAAACTTCCTACAGAAGGCTGCTTGCTCTAAGCAGTTTTCTTATTACTGTACTTGGAAAATTAGTCAGTGAAGAGAGAGCACTTTTAAATAGCCCCTGAAGTCTTTGAACCTTTTTGCTAATAATTGCCATAGCTCCTTTTATTCAAAGATGAATTTTAGTTTAGAATCCTTTCTCAGATGCCCAACCTTCTTATTTACAATTACTGATTGGAAGTAAAACCTTGAAATACTACAGAAAATCTGATTTGTGATACTTCATTAGGCTGCAGTTTGGCCTGTTTGCCATTCTGCAGGCTTCTGAAAAAAATGTTTCCAAGTTTTTGGGCAAAAAAAATGAAAAAAAAAAGCCGGAGTAAATATATGATGGTAGCAAAGAATACTCAGATGATGAAATGAGTATTGAGGCAGGATAAAAGAATGTTGGTGTCAGAAATCAGGTCTTTTCCTTGCTAGGTAGTAGATGAAATACTCTTCTATGTTTACACTTTAAAAATCTTAGCACTCCCACTGTTTGTTGCAGCTGTGGGAAAATGTTCTGCGAACCAAATCTATGAGGAATGTGGTTCTCCATGTATTAAAACCTGTTCCAACCCAGAGTACAGCTGTTCCAGTCACTGTACCTATGGCTGCTTTTGTCCAGAAGGTATCGTTTCATCATATTCTTAATGGATCACACAAATGTTTTTTTGCACATATCCAGTCAAGTGGAATGGACTGCTTAATAATGAACTAGCTGTGCATTTCAGGGCATTGTGCTGCTAGAACTGCTCTTTCTCAGGTAACATAAAGTAACTGTAGTCTTAAAGATGTCTGGTCACTCTTTGCAAGAACAGAGCTATGAATACATTTTCCTCACAAGGCCATGGTTTGTAATGGGATAATGATAATGCCATCTGCTTAAAGTTCTTTACTTAAATATACAGTGATCAGGCAAGGAAAAGGCAGCACACCTCAGAAGATATCTGCAATATTATGTGAATTTTATAATTTCCCTTTAAAATAATTCAATTACGGAAAATTATGGAAACTGTGATTATTACTATCATTTGCATTTCAAAATAGAACAATTGACTATGCTTTCATATGACAAAGTAGCCAAAAGCTGTTGTCACTTGCGAATATTCAGTTTCATTTTAATTAGGAGAAAATTTCCTGCATGCTACATCTCCGAATATGGGCACTGCCTGTGCAAGAATAGCATTATCAGGCTAATTCCAGAAAACATTCAAGCCATAATAACGGTAGTGGTGAGGATGGGGAAAATTGTTTTGTTTATCTTCTTTGGCAGGAACTGTTCTTGATGACATCTCAAAGAATCGGACATGTGTTCACATTAGCCAGTGTCCATGTACACTGAATGGGAAAACATATGCTCCTGGTGAGACAATGAAAGCAGCGTGTAGGACCTGGTGAGTAGCAACAGGTAGTTCCATGAGAGAATGAAAAGTGCCTTCACCAGACAATTGGAAAGTTTTGCCTAACCTTTCAAAGGGCAGAGCTTTTCATGATTCAGGAAAGTTTACTGGCAATCCACACATGAGTTCAGCAACTTTGAATTAAGATGAGCAACCTCAACTGATAAATGTAGACAGAGAAAATCAAAGCATAGAAAACATAAGGAGAAAAGTGATTAAAACTACATATTTCATTACTAGGAAGTAGCTGAGTTTTTAGAGTGTGAAGAAAAGAATAACCTTACACAGAATTTCTTGTTTTCTGTAGTAAATGTGTGATGGGTCAGTGGAACTGCCAAGACTTGCCCTGTCCTGGAAGGTGTTCCCTGGAAGGAGGCTCCTTTGTTACCACATTTGATTCGAGGCCATATCGATTCCATGGGGTTTGCACTTACATTCTTATGAAGGTAATTTCCTGCAGTCTAGAAACAGAGAATATCAAATGGTTATGTTTTAGTCTGTCTTTGGTTTCCTATTGGAACACAAGCTGAGGACTTAATAAGATACACATTTATTCTACAAATCATTGTTATACTGATAGAGGCTTCTCTTTTTACTTCTCTTTTCTCTTTCCCTCTAGAGTTCCAGCCTGCCACACAATGGAACCCTAATGGCTGTTTATGAAAAGACTGGTTATTCTCATTCTGAGACATCACTTAGTGCTATAATTTACCAATCTGCAAAGGTAGGTATTCCCTCCACAGGTTCCATCCAGAATTTCCTCACTAGATTAGCAACATAAGTGCTCAAAGTCATTGTTAGTAGCTTGTACTTAAAAATTATGGAGGATAGATACTGAAGATATGTTTCTGCTCATGTATACACAGCAAAGATCTCAGTTGCTACATCAATTCAGGAAGGTTGAAAACTAAAAGCAGCATGTTATAATGTGAGAAAATGCTTGTTTGGGTTTTTTTTTCTTTTACATAGATCATTAACAATGTAGTTGCTTAACTTACCATATAAATACCATCTGTAAAGATAGTTACTTCTGGTTCCATGTCCTCTTCTTACAGGACAAAATTGTGATTTCTCAGAATGATCTCCTTACTGATGATGATGAACTTAAGAGGCTACCTTACAGATCAGGTAAAAAAAAAAGATGGGGAATGTAAGTTATATCCAAATTAAATTTAATGTCTGTTTTTACACATTACACAACCCAACATCTTTCTCAATCTTTCAGTTGCTAATACCAGAGGTTTTAGAGGAAGGTTAAAGTCTTTCCTTCTGCATCTGTTCCTCTGTGGAGAGTTGTGTGTGGGAGAAGAGTTGTAGACAGAGTGCTAGAACATTTAGATATGTGATAAAATCGTTACCTTGCAGTATCACCAGCATCTCTATTTTTAAATGTGCTTGTTCCTTCAGGAGACATCACCGTTTTCAGACAGTCCTCCATGTACATTCAGATGCATACAAACTTTGGGCTGGAACTTGCAGTTCAGACATCACCTGTATTCCAGGCCTACGTGAAAGTTGGATCACAATTCAAAGGCAGAACGCTAGGTAATTAAATAACACCCCTTGCAAAGGAGAAAATGTAGGGAGTATAATTTTGAAAACTTAGTATTAATCATTTAAGAAATCAGTTTTCTTCTCTAGATTCAAAGAAAAAAAATGCATTGGAAAACTGAATTGGTTTTTTGCTAATAACTTTAAAATTAATCAAAGAAACTAGAGGTGTCACATTTTTCATACATAATATGATACTGTTTTGTATTTTATGTGTGCCTTTCTCAATATGTGCTTTACTACACAATGAAGGAGCAACAAATAAGTCTGTGTGATTTCTGCATCTTGGAGCACACAGTTCTTTGAATGAAGTGCACAACCACTGTAAACACAACAAGCTTAAGAGTCTAAAAGCTTCTCAGCTGGTAATCACCAGATGGAGATGTTTGTTGCACAGCAACATTAGCCACACAAGCATATTTTGCATTCTGATTATGGGGAATTTCAGAGAGGCTTTGGCTTTTACAAAAAAAATTCGGCTTACAAAAGCCTAAATGCATATATTGTCATTATGCATTTAATATACATAAGAAAACATGCAACTTCAAAAGTGTTCCATGGTCTTTCTCTTTTACATTGTTTAAAACCACCTTTATTTTCTTAAAGAAACCAAGAACTTCTCTATGATTTTGTCACTGATTAGAGGCTGACATTGTTAACTTGAGGAGGCAGAGGCTCAGTGACTGAATGTGTACATAATCAAGATTCTCTGGCTACTTGACCTGAGTATTCATTGACACTGTGTGCAGAGCTTTTGACTTAGTTTTCTTACTGTAGAATGAAGCATAGGCCATTTAATTTCCGTTCTGTTCTTTAACTTCCGCCATCCCTTGCATTTCTGATGTTGTCAGGTTTGTGTGGCAATTACAATGGAGACACTACAGATGACTTCATGACTAGCATGGATATCACTGAAGGGACAGCCTCCCTGTTTGTAGATTCCTGGAGGGCAGGAAATTGCCATCCTGCCTTAGAGAGAGAGACTGACCCTTGCGCTTTGAGCCAACTGAACAGTAAGTAGATGATGCTGTGGTAACTGATCTCTCCAGCTGGCTTTGTCCAACGCTTCCATAAGCCCCTACCAGGGAAACGAGAGAGCTGGACAGAAACAGAGACTGAGAGAATTGAACATCACAAATTATGTTACCAACAAGCATTTCTGCTTTCTAGAATACATATCAAGTGAAAGCTCATCAGATCCTGTTCTAGAGATCTGGGATTGAGATGATGAATGAGAGGGGTTTGATCTGTCTAGTGAAACTGCAATGTCCACGGTTGTCTTAGGCTTGTTCAGCAGTACTGAGACTGAAATCCAAGTTTTGTCTTCCCAAGTTCTGTTGCTATTGATCTTAAAAAAAGAAAGGTGAAAAAGTAAAAATAGCTCTACTGAGCTGCTTGTACAAGAATAGAGTCTGAAAGCTAAGAAGTTGTCCTATTGTTCAGTGCATCATTGCCAAAAGTTCACCTAAAATACCAAATATTTTTAACATTTCCTTTCCAATTTTTTCCCCCTAACTTTTCTGTTTTAATGTTGTTTACTTTCATTAGAAATATCTGCTGAGACTCATTGCTCTATTCTGACCAAGAAGGGTACAGTGTTTGAGAAATGCCATGCTGTGGTGAACCCTATTCCTTACTACAAGGTAATATTTATGATAGATGTTGTACAGAGGGAATTCAAATATATACCAGATGGGACTCATACGTATCCCACACATTGAATCAGCAATGCAGAGAAGCCTAGGAACAGGTGTGGTTTTGAAAATTCTCTCCACCACACTGAAAGTCTGTTTGGTCACAGGCACCAGTCTCATCCCTGTGAATCAGAAAATATTTTTGCTCATGCTGCTGCTGTCCATGACAACAACTTTAACTGTTCAAAGTATTGATTTTACCCTGTGCATAATTGAGCTCAATATATTTGCCAATGTACACAAAACAGTTTTAATATTAAAAATGAGAAGCAGCAAATAAACAAAGGCATTTTTTAGGATACTAAGTATATTTTATTTACATCAGCAATGCAGTTACTCAGATATTTTCCATCCGTTTTATTTATGCAATAATACGTGTCTTGTGTGAATTAATTCTGTAATTCAGCATAGAATCATATTGGTTGGAAAAGATTTTTGAGATCATTGAGTCCAACCATAAATATAACAACACCAAGTCCACCACTATGCCACGTTCCTAAATGTCATGTCTACAAGTCTTTCAAATACCTCCAGGGTTTAGCACTTCCAAATATCTGGTCCCCAGTAACAAAGTACTCTCTATGTGTTTGGTTTCAGAGATGTGTCTACCAAGCCTGTAATTATGAAGAGACCTTTCCTTATATTTGTTCTGCTCTGGGATCATATGCACGAGCATGCAGTTCCATGGGTTTAATCCTTGAGAACTGGAGAAGCAGTATGGACAATTGCAGTAAGTAACTGAACCAACTCTTAGTAGTCTGCCATCACATGAGTAATGAGGAAATAGGGAGCAGAAAGAAGAGCTGAAAGTGGATAATAAATATCCAACTGTTGGATACCCTTCTATTGTCAGTCTGAAGAGGGTTGTTACTTCATGACTATATGAAAAGGATTATTCATATGCTTTAAGGTGAGCATGCGGATGCTTCCAGGACTTGATAAATGAGATATAGAATAGACAGAAAAATAAAGCTATCCTTTAAAATGAGAAAGAGCTAGGGAAAACTGACTACAGATTTTATTTTATTATTTTGCAACTCAGATATAGGCGCAGGTATCAGTTTTACTCAAAAATACATTGATATTTCTGCTAAGTTTCCTTTTGCATTGTTAAATGCCAAGATTTACAAAATAGCTGTAAGGTATTTTGCCTGCATGGAACTTCTGAAAAGCTGCATAGTTGGCTGTTAAGTCTTGGTCTGCAACATGTTTTGCTAGAGCTCCACATCCACAGGAAGAGAAGCAGCAGGAAGCATTAAACATTGAAGCTGCTGACACAAAATAAGCAGTACATCCTAAGCAAAAGAACATTATCTTTCACAAGGAACACGATCAGTAAGTGAAGTTTAACATTCACTCTTGTCTTGTTTTATAGCCATTATTTGCACTGGAAATCAAACATTCAGCTACAACACTCAAGCATGTGACAGGACATGCCTCTCACTCTCCAACCGAGCCCTGGAATGCCATCCAGCTGATATTCCTATTGAGGGCTGCCAGTGTCCTAAAGGAATGTACCTGAACCACAAGAATGAGTGTGTTCGTAAATCTCATTGTCCCTGCTACTTAGAGGACAGAAAGTACATTCTGCCTGACCAGTCAACAATGACTGGTGGGATTACCTGGTAAGTGTGTCAAGTTTAAAGGTGAACAAACTGAAAACGGACGTGAGGGGTCTTCATGTCTCTGTCAAGGGTCAACTTGACAGTAAGCAGATAAGCACCACACAGCCACTTATTCCAGCAGGATGTGGAAGAGAATCAGAAGGACATCAACAAGAAACCTTATAGGTAGAGATATAGACAGTTTACTAAATTTCTTTATTAATAATAAGCAAATAGTTTCTTTAATAAGCAAAGCAGCATGAACAATCAAAGCTAAGTAAGGAATTTATTCAGAACTTCCTGTCAGCAGACAGCCGTTCAGAAATTTCCAGGAAAGCATGAATTTGCCATGCATAATGATTGCTTGGGAAAATGAGTGCTGAAACTCTGAACATCCCTCCTTCTTCCTTCTTTACCTGAGCTTTTATTGCTGAGCTTGGTTTGGTATAGTATGGAATCTTTCTCTGGTCAATGGGTCAGCTGTCCTGGCTGTGTCTCCTCCCAGCTTTCACTTAGAATTAAAATAATTTTTTTCCTCAGCCTCCTCCCTGGCAGGGCAACCTGAGGAGCAAGAATGCTGGGACACTGCTCAGCACCAGCTAAAACAACACTGTGTTATCTACAATGTTTTGGTCACAAATCCAAAACATAGCACTACTGAGCTGCTACAAAGAAAATTAACTCCATTCCAGCCCAAACCAGTACAGTCTCCTTTATTTTTAATAGCATAAATTTATTTTTCAAGACATCTTTTTTGCCCTTTTCTAAACTAAAAGTATTCTTAACTCAGCTGAAAGCATTTGACTTACCTTCAGCTTCAAAATATTACTGAGAAAAAATAGAAAATAATAGCTGAGATCTGATTATTCTTATTAGGAGATCTTGTCAATATCACTTAGCTATATACAAACTTCTGGAACGACTTGATAGACCATCCTCATAGTGACAGTTGCCTACTAGTGATAATAGTGATAATAATAAGCTACTATTCACTTTCCAAACTGATGGTAATGTATAATACAAAAAGTGAAGAGACTCATATTCCACTTCAAAGGATGGGAAGGAGGTAGTAACATGAGTGAAACACTTTTAATAAAACAATTTTGCAAAAAATCAAAATTTCTTTCTTAGAAGAGATTTCATTGATTTTTCTTTTTCTCCCTAGCTACTGTGTTAATGGGAAGCTAAGTTGCACAGGCAAACCTCAAAATCCTGCAGGTATGCGTCTGATATTGTTTACTTAGAAACATTTTTTGTCCTTTATGTTGTAAAATTACTACTTCACTGTTCTCTTCTATGTTAATTTCTCCTCAATGTTCATTTTTCTTCCTTTTTCCTAGAAAACTGCAAAGCTCCTAAGAAATACATATCATGTTCTGACAATTTAGAAAACAAGTATGGAGCTGCATGTGCCCCTACCTGTCAGATGCTGGCTACTGGAATTGACTGTGTGAGTTTCACAGCACTGTGATATTTATCCTTTCCAGAGAGGTAGAATGTTCTAGTTGTTACTTAGAACTAAACTACATTGCTTCTAATGAAATAAAAAAAAATTGTTTTATCTGACATGATGCAGTTAAATATCAGGCTGTGGACACAAAAATTGTACATATATTTAAGAAGTGATTAAAGAAATTAATTGCATTAATTAATTAAATTCTATTAGAATAAAAATCCATTAAGGATTTTTATCTACATGACTATAATCTCTGGCTCAGGTACTCCATAAGCTGTGACTCCATGCCAATGGAAATAATGAGATTTATGCTTCCTGATCTATTTTTTATCAACTCTCTGCTGCTGTTGATCACAGAATGCAGGACACCTGGGCTAGGTGAAGATCTGGGCTGTCCTGATAAGGGTTTTCTTGTATTAAGGAAACAGACTAATTGGAAGAATTGTAATAAGCTTCCTTGAGATGAAGAATTTTCTGTTGTACTGTTTCTGAAAGAGTGGTAGTGATGGAAGATAAATCTTCCAGAGCGTTCAGGTATGTTTAGTATCTCAGACCTCAAGTACATGTTACAGCTTCAGTGAAACTAGTTCAGCTGACAGCATGTTAATACAAGGAACATCACAAACTAAAATCAAACCCAAACAGAACTTAGCACAGGTTCAATCCTAACACCGTTCACATCCAGGATTAAATGCATCTTACATTATTTTCTTTTTTTTTTTTTGTAATCTGTTGGTCTTTCCCAGATACCCACAAAGTGTGAATCAGGCTGTGTCTGTGCTGATGGCCTCTTTGAAAATCTCGATGGCAAGTGTGTGCCAGCTGAGGAATGTCCATGTGAATATGGTGGCCTTGCTTATGAAAGAGGTGAACAAATCCAGACTGAATGTGAGATCTGGTAAGAGTCACAGGGTTTTTATTGCAGATCCTCTGTTTCACTGAAGTGTACAGCCACATAAAAATAAGTGTTTAGCTGACTGGAGAGTAGGAAATGGCAACAGCTGTAAGGAAGAAATACCATGACAGAGTACAGGGATTAAGAGAGAGAGAAGCTTAGCATTTGGTAATATATGCATGGATAAGAGCCATTGTACCAGCTTCAGGAGTAATTTCTGCCTTATGTATGTTCAGGAATAAAGGCATCCAGTAGGGCCTGTAAATGATATGTGATTGTAAATGATATAAAGTCAGGTATTATCAACAACTCTGCTTAAATAAAGATTATGGCAAAATCTTTCTTCTTTTATGCAGGTAAAAGTAACCACCCTCAAAAATATTTTGATCTCTTTAGCAGTATTCTCAAAGTATTTTATTCCCTTTCTAGTTAATAATCTCTTACTAAAAACAAAAAACACCCCCTAAACTACACAGAGCAGTGACTCCCAATCTCATTAAGAGCAAAAATAAATGGGTTTTATATACCGTTTATTTCATAAAAAAGCACAAAAATTATTTAAGTTTTCTTCTTCATTATTGATTCATTTTCTAGGCAGTCCATAAATTTTAATAATGCTTTTTATATTAAATGTAATTTGGTCTCAGTGTACATAAGTCAATTAATTGAACATGCTGTCGATAAAAGTGGATGTATATAAAAATAAGCAGGTGAAGATGGTAGTTCTTTCTTTGAAATCTGAATGTGGTTTCTTTCTCTTCTCACTCCCAGCACTTGCACAAAAGGCAAATGGAAATGCGTTCAGAAGACAAGGTGTTCCTCCACCTGTAATCTGTATGGAGAAGGCCACATCACCACCTTTGATGGACAGCGTTTTGTGTTTGATGGCAACTGTGAATACATATTAGCTATGGTAACCTGCTTCCTCCTGGTTATTTCAACAGCATTTCAGCATCAAGAAATAACTGGATTTAAGATTCTAATAAAAATATGCTAGGATTCATCAATAAACAATATAGCACTTTGAATCTTTATAACCACTTACTGAGTTTTTATAGATTATGTTTATTTTAATATTTAGAATGAAAATATTTTACAAGTAAAAAACCCCATAATTTTCATGCAATTATAACCAATTTTAGATTTTTTAAAATAATATATTTAGATAGTCACTGTATTGTGTACCAGACAAATAAATCGTTTAGAAACATTAGTTTGACCAGAAGAGCAGAGGTCATCCTCTCCAAAAACAGAATTACTCATGATGTTTTAAGCATCCTGTATTTTCTAATACTTTTGTGTTTTAAGTTGGAAGACTTCAGGCACAGTCTGTTGAGCCTTTCTGCTTCCTGTGGTTTGTTTTGGGTTTTTTTAGGATGGCTGCAGTGTTAACAGACCCATTTCCTCTTTCAAAATTGTTACTGAGAATGTCATCTGTGGGAAATCAGGAGTTACATGCTCCAGATCCATCAGCATTTACCTTGGGGTAAGCTCTTCTTTCTGCCATTATCCAGCTAAATAGATTTTAAGACCAGGTTTTTTTTGGAACCTTTATGCAGAAAGGTCTTGTAAATGAAATTATGTGCTAAACCTAGAGTTTAAAAAAACCTTGGTTTTAATAGGAAATGCCATAGTTTTTTGTTTTGTTTTGCTTTGTTTTAATTCTCATGTTGTGTTTCATTCTCCGAGAATCTAGTCTGTGTAGAAGCTAGGAAATTTTGAAGTTTACTCCATGGTGAATTGCTCAATGAAAAAATACTGTTTTCCAGCTGCAGTATCACTGTAGTATTAGAACTTCGGCATGGAAAACACTGAAACTTGATAAGTTCTAACTTTTTCTTCCAGAATCTGACAATCATACTGAGAGATGAAACCTTCGCTATTTCTGGGGAAAATCCTGGTGTGCAGTACAAAGTGAAAAAGAATGCACTTCACCTGATGTTTGATATCATTATCCCAGGAAAATACAACATGACCCTTATTTGGAATAAGCACATGAACTTCTTCATCAAGATCTCCAGAGAAACACAGGTATTGCAGAATAATTTCCTTAAAATGTCCCTCCATTCAGATTGAACTGAACATTTGATTACAGTTGCCTTGATTCTCTGTGATGGCAAAGGTTTTCCAGAAATGCTACTAGCAATTCATTTTTATCATTATCTCCAGAACAGCAGAGATCTTCACAAGAGGCTAACTTTAAGGGATTTCTGTACTGCATTCAGGAAATTTTTGAGCTAAGTGCTTGTGATTTATGCAACTGCACTTTTAAATTTGATCTCTAAATAATGACAGTTTACAGTTTAGAGGAGAAGCCCATGCACAAGTATGAGAGAGTATTTGTAGATGACATTCACTCCTAAAGCACAGGAAGCTGTCAGTAATCAAAAGGGAAGGTGAGAATTTAACTTGCTGAACTGATATTGGTGCTTTCATTGAATCTAGGAAACGATCTGTGGTTTGTGTGGAAACTATAATGGCAACATGAAGGATGACTTTGAAACTCGAAGCAAGTACGTGGCATCAAACGAGCTGGAATTTGTCAACTCTTGGAAAGAGAATCCTCTCTGTGGGGATGTGTACTTTGTAGTGGACCCCTGTAGCAAGAACCCTTATCGTAAAGCATGGGCAGAAAAGACATGTTCCATCATCAACAGCCACGTTTTTTCTGCCTGTCACAATAAGGTAAGAATGTATTTGCTGGGGTTTTTTTATTTATAGGAGTAATCTGTATTCTTCCAAATGCTCACGCTCCAACTGGTGATTTTCTGTTTGGCAAAACGTTTCAATAAAATACATTTAAAAATTTTTTATGGCTCACATTTATGTTAATTTTCTTTTTTTTTTTTTTAATTTGCACTTTGCCAGCCCTTTTGTGAACATAAAAGCTAAGTATGGTATTAACTGATTAATTAAAACTACAAGAGTGAGAAAAAAATGAAGACTTAAGAATCAGGAATTTATCAGTCTGTTCATGATGCTTGATATTGATCAATGCATTTTCAGGTGGCAAAAACCATTGAGAAATGTGGATATTGCTGAAGGGGCTATGCACATACATAGAGTATAATAAGCAGAAAATAACCTTGGAAAATGAATCCTGTCCTTTTGCCACACAGGTGAATCGGATGCCCTACTATGAGGCCTGTGTCCGAGACTCCTGTGGGTGTGACATTGGAGGGGACTGTCAGTGCATGTGTGATGCCATCGCAGTCTATGCCATGGCATGCTTGGAAAAAGGCATCTGCATTGACTGGAGGACCCCCGACTTCTGTCGTGAGTTTCCTTAAGCTCTCCTTAAGAGTTTAAGAGATTAAGAGGTTTAAGAGATTTTTATTGTCAGTATTTGGCAACATAGGAAACTTATTAATAACCACGTCAAAGTTAGCAATTTCTCTGTGGGCAGAGTTGACCTCAGTCAGCTAGGTTTTGAAATCTATACTTTTCTGCTGAATTAACAAAAATACTTTAACTCTTTTTACCATGGAGTAATGAGAGAGAAAATAATGTGGTCACAGAAAGCAGATTGTTTCTTCTGCTATCACTGTATAGTGTACTGTGAGTTTGCCAGCAGAGAAACCATAAAATTGTAAAAAAATGTTTCATTTGAGCTATGATGAAATCACCTTCTGTGTGGATGTCAAGGGAATGAAGACAGCTGTGTTGGCTGGAACAGTGTAAAACAGGAAAATGACATTAAGCTGTTACAAAACACATATAGAGGAAAAAAGAGGAAGAACATGCTATAAATCAATGTTAGTGTTCATTTTTGATCATTTTCTTTCCACATTTCAATATATTGTGTATGAATAGTTGGGGAAATGCCTGCATACTGTACTTGCAAAAAAGAAACTGACTTCTGTGGGTTAACATATATATTTACATCAGAATCTAATCACTTCAGTGAAGTTTTTTTTTTTTATTCCAACTGTTAATTAATTTTGTCTTCCTCCTAGTACTTTGAAAATATGCCATTAATTAAAAAAAAACCACCAAACTGACTTTTCTCTTGCTTGTCCTTTTTTTAGCTGTCTATTGTGAGTATTACAATTCTCATAAAAGAACAGGCATTGATGATGCTTTTTCCTATGGCTACAACGATGACAAATGCACCTGGCACTACAGGCCTTGTAACTGTCCAAATCAAAACTACAAATATGTCAATATTGAAGGTAATAACCTCTACTACTGTAAACCAGGAAACAGTAACATAATTGTTTTTGGTGTTGTTTTGTTGTTGTTTTTTTTTAAATCAGTCATACCACAGTTAAATAATTGTAATCTAATTGATGTTATTTTTGAAGACATTTTGATGATCTTTTTCTTACTAGCAGAATACGTAATGAACTCAGTAGATGTGCTATATTTTTAGCTTTATATCAAACTCAGCCTGTCTGGAAGAGAAATTCTGACTTGCACCAAATCAAAAGAGTGAACTGTACTTAGGAAAGAAAACATGTGGAGAGAGCAATTAATATTTTTATTAAACAAATGGACATACCTGAGGAAATCAAACAAATTCCTACATAGAAAAAACCTCCTTTAGAGGATAACATTGTAAATACTTACCTGAATAGATGATGTTGCAATTTATACTATTTTTAATAACATAAGTATAATATATTCAATTATAAATAGTGTAAATGAGAAATGTAAAACAGACTTCTCTTTCCCTTTCTTCAGGCTGTTACAACTGCTCTCATGATGAATACTTTGACCATGAAGAGGAAAGGTGCATGCCATGTGGTAAGCAGTATTTCTTTTTCCACAGTAACTTGAACACCATACTATAACATTTGCACAGACTCACAGAAGATATTTTTCTAGAAGATATTTTTCTAAACTTCCTTTCAAAATAAACCCATTACTATACTGCTTGTAAAATAAAATATTGGTGTTCTAGTCTGTGTCAGGCATAGGCTCAGCAGAGCTGTGAGTTTCAGAGGTATTCAACACATTTCACAGGAAAAGGGAACATGTAGCAGAAGAGTAGATTTAGCTACTGGACTCAGTACATATCTTTTTAGAGATTTTTTTTTAATTAACTTGAGATTTATTACCATATGTCTTATTTCCATGAAACCTTATCTTATTGAATAATGTTTTGGATAGACTCTAGCTTGACAGGTTGAATTTTCATGCAGATGTAAAAAAATCCTTAAGAACAAAGTGCTTATTACAAAATTCTGTCTTGTGTAACCAGGATCTCAGCTAGTGATCTCTGTTATATACAAAACCATGGTCCACTATCCCTGAAAACTGAGGGGGCCTTAGCCATAAAAGTCATAATAAAAATGGGAAAAACTTATTGATGTTCATTATAATAATGAGATGTATTGATTTATTTGTACTTAAGTCCTTTGATGTGAATTTGACTACTGAATTTTTTATTATATTTTTCAAGTATTACATATTTGAAATATGTAACATTAAATAATTTCAGGAATACCTCATTAATTAGCCCAATTCTTGGAATCCAATCCAATGAGATCTGCCTTATCTGGGATATTTTAATATGCTCCTATTCACAAATTTAACCTGTTTTGCCTTTATGTAACAGGACAAGTAAATGTTACCACCACACCGGAACCATCTTCACCTTCACCAGGTTAGTTTACACAGTTGACCAACTGTGTAACTTACACACTGATATTATGTCCTGATATATTTATGAAATCAGTAATGCCCTTTTCTGTGTGATATAGCAGCATTATCAGTTGCACATGCATGAGGTGAAATGATGAAAAATACCCTGGTACCATAATATCCTGGGCTGCATCAAAAGCTGTGTGGCCAGCAGGTCAAGGGAGGGCACTGTGCTCCTCTGCTCTGATGAGAGCCTGCCTGGAATGCTTTATCCAGCTCTGCAGTCTTTAATTCAAGAAAGACAGAGGAGGGCCACAAAAATGACCAGAGGGATGGAACACCTCTCCTGGGAGAAAATTCTGAGATCTGGGGTTGTTCAGCCTGGGGAGGAGAAGGCTCCATGGAGACATCTTCGTGGCTTTTCAATACTCAGATGGGGCTTATAAGAAAGATGGGGACAGACTTTTTAAGTAGGGCCTGTTGTGTTGGAACAAGGGGTAATGGTTTTAAATCAGAAGAGAATATATTCAAACTAGATACAAGGAAGAAATTGATTATGATGAGGCTGGCAAAGCACTGGAAGATGTTGTCTGGAGAGACTGTTGAATCCCTTTACTTGGAAGCATTCAGCTCAGGCTGGAGAGGCCTTTGAGTAGCCTGATCTACTTGAAGATATCCCCACTCATTGCAGAGGGAGTGGATTAGATTATCTTTAATGGTTTGTGCCAACCTGAGTCATTCTATGATGAAAAGGATCTCACAACAATTCATGTCCTCTCTTACTACGGATTGGCCATATAACACTTCAACAATTGAAAAAAGTCTTGATGGAAGTGTGTGACTGACTATTCAAAATCCCTGTAGCCTCATACAGGAAAGGAATCTACACATGATGATCTTAAATTTGTTAGAAATTCCATTAATTTCCCTGAAGACAGATGGTATTAGAAAACTTTGAACTTTGGGTTGTGTGAATAATGAAATTATGAATATTATTTGATATAAGATTGGAATATTGTTCTATCTCTGCTGATTTGAACAAGTATTTATGCCAAATTCACTTTAAAGTGAAGAAAAAGGTATAAAATATCTCCAAGAATATCTGTCTAATGTATTCACTGCACATAATAGCAAAGGAAGCAATGGATACCAGCTCTTCAAGGTTTAATCTAAAAGGTAATGGGTTTTAATAGTTTTAATGGGTTTTATTAGCTACTGCTAATAGCTATAAAAACCCTGGTTTCACTTCAGAAAAATTCCATTTCTATAGATACGTTATCAATAGATTATTGAGGACTATTTCTTATCTTTTTGTTTTGATTTTTTTTCTCTTAGTAACAACAGTGCAGCCTAAAGTAACAAGGAGCTCTACCACAAGCACCTTACCAACAGTACCTAGTACTTCTGCAACAGCTGTATCACCTGAGACTACAAATCCAACAATAACTGCAAAAATTACAGTTCCAAGAACTTCACCCTCACAACCTCTTGTCACGATAAAGTCAACAACTGGTAGGTTTTTTGGTGTTATTGTCTAAAATAAATTACGCTAAACTTGCTGTACATTGTTGAGATACCATTCCTAGGAATGCATTTCAAATTCATACAACATCCAAGCATTAGACTCCAAATTATGAAGCAGGCAAAGCAGGCTTCCAGAAGGGAGTTTGTAAACAAGACATGCTCAGAAGTGTAGATTGAAAGTGCATGAAAATATAAAGGATGTAGGCATTAAGTTAAAAATGCAACTAAAAAGTGACTCATCTGAGAAACACAATTAGAAGTTCTACAAGCACTGAGCAAGCCCATCTCCAGTTGGGTTTATTAGCTCAGCTTCAGCCTCTTTTCCACTGGTTCATTTATGGAGTTCAAGGAGCACCCAATCTATTGACTGAATAATTAAGCAAGCCCCAAAGCAGAATCACACAGGTATCAGTACAGCAGCTTTGTCTAGGCTTCTAAAGTCCTGTTCTCTGGACAATGACTCTGCCAGAATAAATTACTCTCTGATTCTGTGGCTTGTGGAGCCTTGTTTAGCCTCATACCAACGTGCACTTCAACTAATAAACCATCTTGGACCATGATTGTCACGGAAAGCAGAGGTAAAAATAGGTCCCAAAGGAGTCAAACACGTGAAAACTGACATTGTGACAGATGATTTGTGCACTGAGGCAAAGAGAGTCTGTAGTATGATGTTATTTAGCTTTTCAGTATAAATTGCAGAAAGCTGCAGGTGTGGCTGATTTAGAACATAACAAAAGCCAAAGGACAAAGCCCATACAGGCTTTAGCCAAAGTGACAACAAAGCTAACTACTTATAAAAATTACATTAAATCTAATACAGGAAAATACGCAAAATCAGAACAAAGACAGACATGAGACAATAGAAAACAAATATAAGTATATAAATATTTGGTAAGCTTATGAGAACATGAATACAACAGTCATACTGAAAATATTAAAAAAAATAAAAATATATAAAATATTAATAACTTATTTATAAGTTATCTGGTTTTAGTTTTTCTATTAATTGGTTACTTACATTATATTTTTACCTTTACTCCAAAAGAACATACAACATCAATTTTTACCACACCAAACATGACTACAACCATCACTACCCCTTCCATAACTACCTCAATGAAAAGAACCATAGCCACTGCACCAAAGTCTGTTCCCTCATCACCTTCTGCCTCGTCAACTGCTGCTTCAACAGAGACAGAACGAGTAGGGGTCACCTCACCTCCCTTCAAGACCACCACCAAAAAGGAAACAGCAATGTCCTCAATGTCTACTCAAACCACAACTCACAGCACAACTTTCAGCCAGCCTAAACTAACAACAGCAGGTAAATAGCACTTTCTTATATCTGTCAGGTGAAGCCATCACTCACAAGACATATGTCAATATACCCCTTATGAAAAAAAACAACCCAATTCTTAGTACTAGTGGTCTTAACATTGCAAAGCAAGCATCTGATATCCAAAGATGTTGTTAAAGCTAACATTTCTCTTCCAACACTTCACCTGAATTTAGACAAAATCTCTCTATGCTTCAAAGCAAATTCTTGAAACCTCACAGACCAGACTATGTATTCCCCCTACCCATTGTAAGAAATACCCCCCCAAAAAATACTAACCTTTTTGAATGTCTGACACTCAATATACAAACAAGGTTGGTCTCCTATGAGGCTCTATGGCAATATGAATTACTACATTAGCAACTGACAGGCTGGGACATTGTGTGGTGCAAAGTCTACTGTAGTGGGAGGGCAGCTGTACACTCTCCCAAATCCAGGTCTCTCACAAAGTACTTTTGGGGTGCATACATCTATGTCTTCTTGTGCAAGCAATTACAGCTTCCTCTAGGAACCTCACCAGATCCAAACCATTACTGATATTCATTCTTTCATCACAGAGAGTGAAGGAACTGAAGCAACCACTCTGCACTACCCAGAAGGTGAGTAAAAGGGACTAGAGAGATGCCCTCGGCCTAAGACTCTGCTTCACTTACCCTAGCTTTTACAGATGATGGTCTTGCCCAGTTTGGAATGCCTGGGAAGGGAAACAAGGCTCTTCTTTCCTCAGGAGCTTCAGAAAAAGGCAGGGAGTGTCAAATTGTCAGAGGCACCCTTCAGACCCACCCTCAATCAACTTGTGCTTTTCTCTCTGTAGTTGTCACCCACATAAGACCAACGTTGACACAGCCTGTGCAGCACCTCGTCACACAGACACAGACCACCCCTGCCCCATCCACCAGGAGCACCTCTGTCCCAGGAGAGACTGGCCCTGCCACCAGCCCAGAAGTCCCGCTGACAAGGACATTTCCAAGCTCCAGCTCTTTGTCTGTCACCTCCACTTCATCTGCTTCTTCCCTCTCCTCAACCCAGCTCAAAACATCATATCCTGGTAAGGCTCCCTCCTGCCTTTCCTGCTGTTCTACCTGCTTCTTCCAGCTCCCACCCTTCTCTCCTAAGCAGCACGTCCCACAAAGGCCTCCGTTTCGGATCATTCTCAGTTCTCCCTGCTATTGCCATGGGACACCAGCAAGTCCAGCAGGCTTGACCCGCACATGACCCTGATTGTATCCTCCTCCCTGTGATTTCAGGGCTTTGGCTCTGGAGCATAGGCCTCTATGAGGGTTCAGGCATCCATGAGCTCCTGCTCTACAGCTACCAGACACAGGCTGAAATACCTCCCTCTTCTTAAAGTGCTGCCCTGAGAATGCACACTGGGGCAGGGGTGAACAAAAAGCAGGGAAACTGGAAACACATCTCCAGTTTACAGCTCAGGACAGTTTTGAGTGAGAGGCATAACCCAAGGCATTATCTCCAGCCAAAGGATGCCTAAGCCCTGGCACACCCATGAAAAGTGCATTTCAACAAATATGACCTCATGGACAAATGCCGACCCTGAGTACAAAAGTCACCAGTGGAGGGTGGGCAAGAAAGTGTACACTCAAGTCCAGGCTAAAGTTCTTTCAACTCATGTGCCACAGTTGGCTTAGTGATCCTCCTTTAGGGAGATGCCAAAACAGGCTTTGCCTAGAATCCTTCCCAAGACTCAATCATGCTTTTCTCTCATCCCTTTCTTTGTAGCAAGGGAGCCAACCAGAGCTAAGACACCAACTACTAAAGTAGTAACAGGTGAGTGCTCTGGTCATGAAAGAGATAAGTCATCCGTGGTCAATGCATCCATATCCTTTCAAGAGCCATGGGCCTCCCTTGGGTCGCTCCCACAGGAGTCTGAACTAAGCCAAGTTTAAACTACCAGTAAACAAGTGCTACCTCTTCCCCACTAAACTGTTCTGGGAAGAAGGAGATGAGATAATTTGCTAGAGGTCTGTCTTCAAAATGGTCAACAGCAAGCGCTTCCAAAAGAGAAGCAGGAAAGGATGGAACATATTTAGGATAATGGACATCTTTATTAAATGAAAAACAGAAAACTCAAAACCAACCAGATGTAGTAGGAGCTAGGTCTCCCATCCTGGCCTATAACTCAGCACAAGACCTCAAAAACAGAAGAGCCAGCAACACCCAACTTCCCATAAGCCAGCAACATGAAACTGACCTGTGCTTCCCTCCTGGCAGCCTTTACCCATGAACACTCAACTGTGCCACACATTGTGCCACATCTGACAACGCACAAGACCACGGCCACCACCTCCATCAGCAGCACCTCCAAGACCTCTGTCTCCACAGAAGTCCCTCTGGAAACAGCCTCTCCACATCCCAGCTCTCCACCTGCCCCCAGCAGCCCACTCAGCACCCGGCTGCCGTCCACTGCCACCACTTCCACAGTCTCCTCCACAGCAGCTCCAAGCACCAGCCCCAGGCCTACACCTACAACCCTGAGGCCCAAGCCCTCTTCCCCAACAACCAGTGCTGCAAAGGAGTCTCCTGTCACAGAGTCCTCTGTGCCCACCACAGCCAAAACCAGCATGCTGCCATCTCCTGCTTCTTCTCCCTCCTCAACTGTGTCTTCAACAGGGCTCAGCTCTTCACCACCTGGTAAGGCTCCCTCTTACCAATCCTGCTACTTCTCCCTGCTCAACTTTTTCCACTTGTTCTTTCCAGCCACACACGTTCCTTGCAGAGTTGTTTTAGTTTTTGCTCTCCATCCCCTTTGTTTGCGCATTGGAACACTGGTATGGCCTTACTTTGTTATGGCCCCAGGGCTCTGCTCTGTGCCATGTAGCCTGGCCTGGCAATTTCAGAGAGGACTGTCCTTAAGCTCTGCCTGTTCCTTGAAGGAACATGTGCATATCCACACAGGGTCCTCTTCCAGGAAGAGGTAGTGGGATCTTGCCTGTTGGAAGGCATGATATCCATTTCCTGCCTTTTTCTGAACAAAACCACACAACATCTTATAGGCTGGACCAACAGGAAAAGTGTTCCCTTTTTCCCAGGAATACTCAGTGCAGCACAGCATTGCCATTTTTGTTTATACCCCCAATCTAAACCTCTGACCATACACATTTCTTTTTTTCTTGTCCTCGACTCAACTGATCTCTGCTTTCTTCCTGACAGCCTTCACCCATAAAATGTTGACCATGCCACACGCTGTGACACCTGTGACCACAGAGAGGACCACAGCCACCACCTCCATCAGCAGCACCTCCAAGACCTCTGTCTCCACAGAAGTCCCTCTGGAAACAGCCTCTCCACATCCCAGCTCTCCACCTGCCCCCAGCAGCCCACTCAGCACCCGGCTGCCGTCCACTGCCACCACTTCCACAGTCTCCTCCACAGCAGCTCCAAGCACCAGCCCCAGGCCTACACCTACAACCCTGAGGCCCAAGCCCTCTTCCCCAACAACCAGTGCTGCAAAGGAGTCTCCTGTCACAGAGTCCTCTGTGCCCACCACAGCCAAAACCAGCATGCTGCCATCTCCTGCTTCTTCTCCCTCCTCAACTGTGTCTTCAACAGGGCTCAGCTCCTCACCGCCTGGTAAGGCTCTGTCCTAGTCATCCTTCTCCTGCCTTCTCTTTCCAGCTGTCCTTTTTTCTGTCACTCTACCCATCTCCCTACCTGCTTTGTTCCCTTCAGGAAACACAT